TGTGTAGCATAAAATAGAATTGCCATTTCTAATAATCAAAACTAGAAACCTTGATTATAGTATCAGCTGTAACAATACTTTCATCTATCATAATGTGTACCAATCAAAATGCTCATTTGCCCTTTAACAAAAATAATTCTAAACAATGAGAACTGGCACTCTATCTATTTATTACACATCACACCATTGGTAATGATTAATCAAAAAACAAAATAAGTAACAAATAAGCAACAACAAAGCACATTTGTAATTAATGTAATAGCACTCTGCGGTTCAGCTATCCAGCAGCTTCAGGCTGTGTTGGGAGAAAGAGAACTTGGAAAGTCTCCTGACATCTTCCCAGGCTTAGAAAGGGCCACTCTTGGCCGGAATGTGCCCCTGCATGTACTTGTGCACACGAGGCCAGATCTCGTTGGATTCCGTTCCGTGAAAGACTTGCAGGATGCCCAGGTCCTCATAGAATTTCTTCAGTGGCTTTGTGTTGGTAGCATAGACCTCCAAGCGATGCCGTACTGACTCAGGTTTGTCATCTTCCCTTTGAACTAAGGGTTCTCCTGTAACATCATCTTTGCCCTGGAAAGATTTAAGACAGCATCAACAAGATATTGTCATTCAAAGAGTGTAATATTAAGACCAATGTACAGAATTTAGATTACATATATCTGTGTGAATGCGTGTGTGCATGTGTGTGTGTGTGTGTTTGCGTGTGCGCGCACACTCGCTTGTGCAGACATTAATTTACTATAAAGTGATTGTCAAAATTAGAGCATGGGTGTGGGGTAGAGGGTGGAAGGGTGTGTTGAGTGAGTGGGTGGAAGGATGTGGGTGAGTTGATCAGAGTGAGTGAGTGGGTGGGTTGATCCATATTCTTAAATATCCGTGTTTAGACTTTATGCAATTTGCACTAACAAAAAAGTACAAGAAAAATATCAAGCAGCAAATAAATTCATCAATGAGACTGAATGACAATATCAGGCAAATTTTGCCTTCCTGTAAATAAATAATAAATATACAACTATTCCTAGGACACAATCTGTCAGTAAAACTAACAAACAAACCATTGTCCAATTTCTTATATTTTTTTCTCCATGCACAAAACCACAAAAAAATAGTTCTAGGATCCTATTCCAGTAAGTGAACAAACTGTCTTTCGTTTGTCTATTTTTCTGGTTTTCAATGGCATCGTCCCACTTTGTTCTTTCCTTGTGGGATCAAAGATAATGGTTAGAACATTGGTGAACAACAAGACAAAAAGGGGAGACAGTTAATGAACGTGTGGGCTCGTGATTCAACAAACATTCATCTCAACACAACAACGAGAAAAAAAGATACCTGAGTAACTACAGTGATGAATCTTTTGATGAGTTACCTGGATAGAAAACCATATAAAGGTTATATATAATGTCATGTGTTATATATGAAAGTCATTTTAAAGATTCAAATTCCCATGCACAGCAAATTAAGAAATATCATTATTATTAGAATTATAAAAAAAAAATGAGAAAAAAAGACAAAAAGTGCTTATTAAAAATATCTTTCAACTCGTTCATCATTATGGAATGTTTCTAGTAACTGAAATCCAAAAGTATATATTTCAGAAGACAATCTGAAACATCTTATACTAATGATGGGAGGTGAGAGACAGCCCTTACAAAATTAAATCAACAATCTATCTACAAAACATAATAACAGCATAAATAAAATATTAATCATGCCACATTCAATATATTTACATATTTTCATCATATAGCTTTTCCTCAAATGCTGAACTGACTGGTTCTTTTTTCTCCCACTACCTCTGAAGTCATGTTTCTAATTTTCTCAGATGTACTATTTCCATCATAACAGAATTTACACATCTAAATATTTCCCAACTCCAATCAACATCTCAACCTTACCATAGTAATCAGAGTATTATACATAATTACCTAAAACTATTACTCATAAGTGCTGTACTACAGGCTTCTAAATATTCATACTACTAAGTACTCCTTTTACACTTTTTCCATCATTCAAGCTGGTTCAATCCTTATTTCTTAACAAAGAATTCAGCTTGTAAGAACTTTGCTACTTATGACAGAAGACCAATGAAGTTCTGATACTATCTAAGACCAATTGTGATACACTTACTTGTGATAAAATTAATGATCTGAATAAATAATTCTGTTTACCTACTTTTTTATGCCATGAAGAATATTCAAATTGAATACATTAATAAAAAGATACTGCCATACATGTATGACTGATTAAGCTTCATATGCTTATAATATACAGGCATTAAATGAAAAACAAAGAAAATATTGGGAAAGTCTGCTAGTGCAATATTACGAAAAGTTACCTTCAAACTGATGTGTGCGCTTTACAGTGCAATTTATCACACAATATCCTGTGCTGCTTATACTACAAGGAAAAAGAAAATGCTTGTATCACAAACTGAATAACATATATCAAAATTACTGCCTTTCAATGAACTTAATACCAAACTAAATCATGATGAATACTATGCACACTAACATGAACTTTATGTAAATTGTAACTTTATGTAAAACCATAAAATCAATGCTTCAGAATATTCTATTTCTCACTTCACTAGAATATCATTGTTTCATTTCTCCTGAGTAAGCACATTTGCTAAATAGATCAAAATTCTTTCTATCATTACCAAAATATTTATTACAGCACTAAATATGCCACCTCATTAAGCTGAACTTTTAAATTAATATGTTCTTTAGCTACTATTATAAGAGTTACAAGCACAAATGAGTTCTATACCATTTACATAATTTCTACTTTAGTGTTATTCTAAAAAATAATAATATTTAAAAAAAAAAAAAATTTATATATATATACATATATATATATATATATAAATATATATATATATATATATATATATATATATATATATATATATATATATATATATATATATATATATATACACAAAATACAAAACCATTGAACAAGGCATATGTAATGCACATCTACTTAAAGGACTACAAGGTTTCTAAATAAATGGATGAAACTACTCTGTTTAACTACACCTCAACTGTCTCATCAGCCAGTCGCTTAGGACTTAGTTAGCAGTCAACCGGCATTCAAAGCAAAATCTGTACTTTGTTGTTGAAAATGAAAACTCCTCATTGTATTTTTTTTAATTACTCCTCAATGTGGTTTAAAAAATTAATCCTCAGAGTGTTCCCACCTCAGAATAAGTATTGGGTGAGATAGTGTGGACTTACCGGAACTTTAGGCGGATTGAACTCAGTGTGATAGATCCTTCCTGAAGCGAGGTGGGTCCAGCGACCCTTAATGCGGTCCACTATGACGTCATCAGGCACTTCAAGGCTCAGGACCAGATCAAGCTTGAGAGGCAAGCATCAACAGCAAAGGTTGCAGTGGGTGATAAGGTATAAAAAACATGCAATAAATGAATTGCAGGAAAAATATTATTTATGTGACTACAAAATTTTAACAAACGCATAACTCTTAGAAGAAAACTGGACACTATGGTACAAAATCCAATATCTACAAGAAAAAACTGAATAACTACACAACAAATAGAAAAACTACTAGTAAAAAACATACATATCTACATTTACTCTTAATATAACTGAAACTTTATCTGAACTTATCTGATTATGATACAAGTTCCCACAAATCTGTACAATATTACCTGATTTGTAACCCTCTCAAAAGGATTCCATTTTCTAAAAAAATATCATTTCAATCTTTGGGAGCAACAGCAGTTACTGAGAGAACTTTAAAATTGTATATAGTGAAGAGAAAAAAACACTTTTTTATCATATTCACACGGAAATGGAGGCAACACTCTGCTCAAGCTGCCTTCTTGATCCCATAATTAATATAAAATGTCATCTAATGATTACTACAAAACAATTTGTGACAAAAAAATCGACCGATATAATCATATACAATTATTCAAGATATAACATTTACAACAATCAAAATTTACTTAAATTATGATACAGCTATCATACAAAATTAACTGGAATCAAATAAGATGGGGTACAATTGTAAGAGAACAATGCTGGACTAAGGAATATGCAGATATATACATACACACATATATGCAGACATGCAGACACACATAGACACACACAGACACACAGACACACACACACACACACACACACACATACACACACTCACTCACTCTCTCTCTTTCTTTCTCTCTCTCACACACAGACACACACACACACACACACACACACACACACAACACACACACACACACACACACACACACACACACACACACACACACACACACACACACACACTCACTCACTCACTCTCTCTCTCACCCCCCCCCCCCACACAACACACACACAACACACACACACACACACACACACACACACACACACACACACACACACACACACACACACACACACACACACACACACACACACACACATTTGAATATAGCAGACAGGACCACCTGAGCTTAGTTCTTCTCCCGTATTGAAACAACTAGGTAAGAACAACTAGGTACGAACACACACACAGTCTCCCACACACGCAAACTCACTCACTCACTCACTCACTCACTCACTCACTCACTCACTCACTCACTCACTCACTCACTCACTCACTCACTCACTCTCACTCACTCACTCTCTCTCTCACACACTCTCTCTCTCTCTCTCTCACACACACACTCTCTCGCTCTCATACTCTCTCACTCTCATATTCTCTCACTCACTCTCATACTCTCACACTCTCTCTCACTCTCATACTCTCACACTCTCTCTCACTCTCATACTCTCACACTCTCTCTCACTCTACTCTCACTCTCATACTCTCACTCTCTCTCTCATACTCTCACTCTCTCACTCTCACTCTCTCTCTCACTCTCACTCTCACACTCTCTCTCACTCTCATACTCTCACACTCTCTCTCACTCTAATACTCTCACACTCTCTCTCACTCTCATACTCTCACACTCTCACACTCTCTCTCACTCTCATACTCTCACACTCTCTCTCACTCTCATACTCTCACACTCTCTCTCACTCTCATACTCTCATACTCTCTCTCACTCTCATACTCTCTCTCTCTCTCATACTTTCTCATACACCCTGTCTGCCTTTTTAAACTACATTAAAGGATTATTTATATATATCTTTTCTTAACTAATACTTATTTTTTTTCCCATGGAGTATCAATATGAAAGTTAAATTGTTTCCATATTCACCTTAATGTTTACCTCAACAGGAAGTGCTTGAAAACAAAACAAAATAAAAATTAAAAGTCAACCTTAATTTCTTATGGTCATATCTTATAAAATATTCACCAGAACGAATCATTTCTAATACTAAAAAAATATATAAATCAGATTAAATATAAATCTACTGAAATTCTTTTTCTTGTATAAATTACCAGCAACTACGACTTGCATGCTTTCAAGTTATAAAAATAGCTATGCAAAACAGGATTTTGCCATCACAACTAGGTAGTTCTCATCTGTAATCATTGTTTAATAAGAAAATACTTGAAATTCTTATTATCAAAATTGCACTTTTGTACAGCTCATTCTCTATGATAAAAATTTGAAAAAGATGGATATTCAATAACCAATTTTTTTTAAAATTCAGACATTCCCTTATGATGGACAGTTCCCCCAACACCTATGTACACCAGCTAGTTTTTCTGATGTTTTGAATTGTCAGTTTCAACTCTCCTATTTGAAGTTCCTGCCATGGGGTATGTGTGGAGAGGGTTTACATGCAAATATAGCTAACTCATCTGTATGTTAAGGTAGAAAAAACATATTACTGTGACATAACAAACATGTTTCTCAGAAAAATATGATGAAAAGTGTAAAGCAGCCTACATAACTTACAAGGAAATGTTGCCTGCACATTTCATAATTGGTCATTATCAACTGTTTGGTTATCAAGACGTAATGATGAGAAAATTGAATGACTTAACGAAACTTAACATCCATCACCAAAACGATAAGAAGAAACACTTGGATATCCTGGTCTATCTAATTTGACCTACTGGTAAATCATTTATCAAAATCTGAATTCCTTACCCCATTTCATTAAATGTTTTATTAAATTAAAATATTTGACATAAACTCTTCGATGACAAGTGACAGGTAATATTGTAATCAAAGTCCTAGCTACCACACAACAGGCAATATGATTATCATTTCCTGACAAACACCATTGGCTTGTTTCTTATTCTTTATACTAGGAACTAAATACATGCATGGCAATGGTTTATCCAAAACAAAACATCTCTATCATATTATTTGAATCATCAAGTCATGATGTTTACTATAATAGCAACAAGATGTTCCATGGAATTATGCAACTAATTTGGCACAAACATTTCTTTACAAACAGAAACATTAAGCTTTCCATAATGACAACCACTACCATACTTTCATACTTTTAGTAAATTGCCAAATATTTCCTGAAATATGTAGGTCTCCCATCAAATTACTGGTATCTATACTGATCATATTGTAATCTAGAGTTGCCTCTTCATACTGAAAATGATCACTGCATTAAAAGGCAAGTTAGAATTAAACTATATGAATAAATCCCTTTATAAACTGTTTATGAAATTATCTCTGATGTCTCCAAACCAATAAACAAAACAATGTAGTTATAGAAACATCATATATTAAATGCCCAGAGAGACTAAATCATATAAATAACATTAGTGCTACTAATTATCTAAATGAAAGAATGCACATTGTAAATGCACAATGAATGATCAGCAAATCAATTCCTTTATATTTTTTGTATCTTATCATCATCTAAATGCTATGCCGAATCTCATTTGTTCAATAAAAAAATTAAAATCCCCTACTACTAATTCTAAATCAAATACTATAATCTAACAAAATGTAATGGCTGTGCCAAATCTTGCAAAACATATATCAAATATTATCAATCATTATACCGAATACATTTCTAACTGTCACAATATAAAGCATCTTTACATCATCCTGTTATAAAAATTGCATATTATATTTATATCAGCTTTAGGCAAGGATAAAAAATGTTTCAATAACATTGAATGCCCAGCAATATATCTATAATTCACTCTATGATGGTCCTAAGCAATTTCACCTGTAACTTGTTCTGTTGACACACTTCAAAGTTGGTGCTGTAACTTAAACTAATTCTTACATTATAATAAACACCATAATAATTCATCTTAATAATAAAATCATAATTAATAATACCTACAACATATATCTTGATTGTATACATACTATACATCTAATAATTCTTATATATAAATGTGGACAGTGAATCAGAATTAGTTGGGGTACAAGAGCCTCACTATTTTTTTCACTTCTCTTTATCTATCACTATCATAAAATGATGTACCTTTCCACAATCCAAAACTCTACAACTCACCTTCTGATTGTTGTGCAGAGCCTCAGCCTGTGGACGTGTGCGTGGAAAGCCGTCCAGGAGCCAGGGTGAGGAGTTCAACCCTGATAGCTCCGTGGATATAAGTTTCACCATAACATCATCAGGCACCAGCTGCCCACTTTTCATGTAAGACTGTGCAGCTAGGCCAATTTCTGTAGAAAAATGCATAAAATTGGTAATAATGGCAATTTTGTGCTGAATCTGTTATGTAAGACAAAGAAAAGGGTTCAAAATTTAACCACTAAAACAATACAATCATCATTATAATGCTTTATGAGTATATAACACTGGAAATTCAACATTATTACATACAGAATATACAGAATGCAAAAAAATAGCAAGTAAATATGCAGAATCTCATCATTATAAAATGATATCAAATATTTACTGCCACATAGGGACAAGGGGCATATCATATAAATAAGTTATGGACTGATCTCCAAATATCAAAGAAATATCCATAAGCTAAAGCATTATCATGCTATGAACAACTCTTTGGTGGTTACTAAAACAATTTTTTTTCCAGCAAATCTGTAATATCTAAAATGAAAAGACTGCAGCCATGAAGACCTCCTTGAAAGACCAAAAATAATGCTCTATTTAATCGTTTAAAGAAATCTTAGGATTTTTTATTAGAAAAATATGGAAGAGCAATCACGATTATACAGTTCCTGAAAAAAATGTCATATGGTGGGATATATTTAATTAAGCTTACTATTGCATTATAGAGGCAATCAACATGAACAAATTTGTGAAAAACAATTTTTTCCATTTTGATTAATACACACTTTATCTTTTATCATAACGCTATCTGTCTATGACTTTATACCTTACCAATAAACATATAATCGAACTGTGCCCATCATCTGAAGTGTCTTTTAAGTATTTTCCCAAAAAATCACAAAATCTCACCGGTTTTCTTGAGGATCTGTGCCCTGAGTAAATCTCCACTTGACAGGTGTTTTAACCCAAAATCCCGGACAATTCTGCTGGATATCGTCCCTTTTCCCGATCCCGGCGCTCCGAGGATGACCATTCTGAATAATTTGCTCATTTCGTTGGTTATAGTTTATGTAATAACGAATTATTTGTTTTAAAAGGAGGAAAGTTATCTCATCGGAGTCCTTTGGATTTCTTCTTCGAGCTCTTCTGCTGTGATAAATACCTTATCAGTCTTATCACGGTAACTTTGGATAATGTGATACCTTTTATTGGTATCTAATTTAAAGGTCAGCCTCTAGTTGCCATTTGTTTGAGATTCACGTTACTTATACTAGGGGAGTTTCAAGAACTTATACTTTGTAATCAAAACAAACGTGGAAATGATGTCGGTCTTTGGCAAAACCTCTTCTCTGCTCAGAGTTCTGCCAGCTGTTGCGGCCTGTAGGAATATCACTACTTCAGGTAATTCAGAATTATTATGAGATATTGCTACTCTTTTCTTTGTGTTCTCTTGCTAATTTTCTTCGATTTCAGGGCGACGGTTCGGGTGTTGCAGACGCCGCCTGCCTTTTTAATTTCAGATAATTTTTATTTGTTTTTTTTCCGTTTTCGCCATGTGATTGTACGTAACATGAAGATATTTGTCTAAGGAAGTTTTGCTTTCAGTTTGTGTAATTGTTACATAAAGTTGCACACAAACTCTACGGATTTATGCAAACACTCGTTCCGATGATATGCACTCGATGTATTAATTGATAAATTTCTCCTTTATAACTTTGGATTATGTATCATAATTGTTTATTTATTGTCATTTACAAAATGATACAGCACTAGTATTTTTTTCTTTTTTTTTTGCATAACAAATGCACATGTAGGAATGAGAAAGAGAATTGCATTTATTTATAATTTTCTTATATACTCTTCCTATTAATACTTATGTAGAAGGTGACATTCATATTTATCATGAAATAATCCAGTTAATGATATTAATGCTATAAATTAATTCATTATGTTTTGGATAAAATACTAGTATGTGAATGTTTATTAATGTAATTTATGGTACTCTCTTTCAGCATGCATGTTTGGAATAAAATCTCGTTGGGTTGCGCCATACAGGAAAGAGTTGTTAAAAAGACAAAAGAAAATGGAGAGAATGGGTATCACACATCAGTTAAAACGTTCCGAGTACATTGAGTGGTGAGTTAATTTTGTAGTCTTTTTATAGATTTAAATTCAATTTGTTCTCTTTTTAAGTTGTTCTTTAAGAGAGAAAAAGTAATCTGTGATTTCATAGAGTGCAATGTAAGTAAAGCACTATTCAGGGGTGTTAATTAAACGGTTGTTTATATTAACCTATTTTATGAGTTGACAATTTGGTATATATAGGTCTACAAGATGTATAATAAATCTTGTTTAATTTAGTGACCTTTGAAATATCACTACTTTCTTATATGTTAATATGATATTTAAGTTACAGGCCCTAAATCATAACCCTCTTCCACAGGAACTATGATGCTGAAGTTTACGCATTTGGCAAGAGACTCGGTGAACAGTTTGACAACAACATACTTAGAGAAGCATTGACTGATTCCTCATACATCAGTCAAGAGAGAGTACGCCAGCAGGAGTTGGGTGTCCCTGAACCGGCGTTGACTATGACGAGCAACAATGAATTGGCAACTGCAGGTTCTCACATTATAGCAGACTACTCAATAAAGTATTTGCGCTCAGCTCTCCCTTTGTTCCCTGAGGAGGGTATCAGGTAATATAGATGTTTTGTATTCTTTAATTGATTTACTAGTATTTATTTGCTTCATTTGTTTTAATAAGGTCTCTTACTTATATATAGTGGTAAAAATGATTGACAAGTTTATATACAATACACGAAAGGTTGCTATTTTAGAGGAATTATATTTGAAAGAAATGCAGTACTATAAAAATGTACAAGAATGCAGTGAATGTTACAAGAAGCACAGTGTTTTAATGTAGATGACACAGGATTTTCAGTCTTAGACTTAAAAAATTTATATATAAAATTATACATACACTTAGAAGGTCACCTAGTTTTATGTGTTCTGTAATAAAATATAGAGCCATCATGAATAGAAATCATCTTTCATTCCATCTAGTAAGAGCCAGTTTTCTTTATTTTGGGCTCTTCAGTTTTCCTTCTTTCAGATTTCATATGCTTTATCTTTTTAGGTGCTGTAATAACAAATTATTCATATTTTACCAAACATTATATTTTGGAAACTTGATAATAGCAACCTTTTCAATTAAAAAATGATATGTCATGAATACTTCATGTTTTTTTCTTAATTTTTATGGTTTGTGTACTCAATTGGCCATTTTTTAAACTTTTCTCATTTGTTCTCAGATCTCTTGTAGATTATTTAACATCATCAGAAGTCATGGCAGAAGTTGGGTTGGGGATCGGTCTTAAGGATTTAATTCTTTGTAAGGTAAGTTAAGATAAGTGTACAACAAATGTGCAGTTACATTTCTTTTCATTTTTATTGACTTTACTTGTCTAATCTTATTTTTTGAAAAAGGGAAAACATAAACCAAAAATTTTATTGTCAGCTAATTTACTAAATATGTGAATATTTCCATTCAGCTTTGTAGAATTTAGAGTTGCATCTTAACCCTTCAGATTTTTAGGATAAGAATTAGTTGGCAGTAATTTAATACATAACTTTACCTTTCCTCACAATGTTTTGATTGCCTTTTCTTCTCCCCATTTCATTCACTGAATCATTTAAACTGAGGGACTTAAAATGCAAGCTCTATAGGAAAAGAGGAAGTGAGAGTAGCTCACATGATGAGTAGATAAAGAGTAGGTTTGGTGGGAAAGCAAATTACCTGGATTTAGAAGAGTTTACAGGTATGATAGTTTTTTATATGTGTGCACATATTTTGAATCAAGTTTATCATGTATTGTACAAAAGGTATGAATGAAGTTTGCTCTATGGAAATGGGAGCATGTATATAGAAATATTTGTTATGTATTTTTTGGTATTTAGTTTATTTTCTTTAGCAGTTATAGTATATGAAGATCCCTCTGGGTATTCAATATGTCTTGGGATACTTGTAAACCTTGTAAGTCCTCATAAAGAATTTTGTTACTTGAGGTCACAGATTTTGGTTTAAAATGTGTTATAAAAACAAATTTCTTTATCTTATATAGATAAATATACAGACACTGATGCATAGTTTCAGATAAAAGAAAACACAGCTATAGTTTGAAAGGAATAAAAACAAGACATTTCAAATTCAAATTTTTATTTTGTTTTCACCGTGTTTGATAAAGAATTCATGAAGTTTGAAATGATATGTTTTTATTCCCTTCCAATTGTGGTATTGTTTTGTTTTATGCCTTTACATTGCTGTGGTAACAAGTCCACCAACTCCTTTAGCTGTGTCTATTTTACAGGAGTCAAACTAAATAACTGCAGTTTTTGTTTTTCTAATTATTATTCTCCTCCTCTTTCTTTCTTCTACCTCTCCTTCTTCTTCTTCTACTTCTCATTAAAAAAGAAATCATCATTATGTTCACTATATCATTGTTGGGCCATTTTATTTTGGTTATGATTTGGTATATGATTTGGGTCATATGTGGTAAGAATGCTATTTCATATGATATCTGTTTGGATAGACTGTGAAGGATATCTGTGGTTCAAGTTCCATTGTTAGCACTTTCATTGACTTTTCCTCTTTTATTAGTAACATCACTTCTGTTTTGGTGTGCAAGAAACAAAAGAACTCAAGATTTAAAAAAAAGAGAATAGCTATGTGATATGTCCTGAATATTTGATTTGGTGTTGCTAGCCAGGTCCCCTCCCACTAACTTACCAAGAAATTGATTTTCTCCATAGCAAGAAGGAAATGAAATATTACACTAATTTACCAAGAAATACATATTCTTCTCTCTGTTTTTACTACAGGAATACCCTCCAACACCGGAGACTGTGGGAAAGTGCTTCCAGGCTGTTGTTGGTGCACTAAATGCCTCAACCTCCCTTAGTCAGTGCCAGTTGTTTGTGAGAGATTTTGTAGTGACACAGCTCATAGGCAAAGACTTGAATGAGATTTGGGAGGTAGGTAATACAGCAACTATATGTAACTGTG